ACCGCAATGGATTCCCTCCTCTGCTCCCACGCCCTGTGCCCCCGCGGCCCGCGGGCTCACCGGGGACAGAGGGAGGGTGCAGACTGTCTAGACGACAGCCAGCCCCGAGCCCGCGGGGACGGGCGCGCACACACACGGCCGCTGCCACAGACACAATCACTCACCGGCGGAGGGAGGGGCGGCGTGGAGACTCTCGCCGGGTCCCCCTGCGGCCGCGAGGGCAGCAGCCTCCGGCGAGAGCGGCTGTGGGCGCCGCGCTCCTACCTCGGCGGAGCACGGTCAGAACAGCTGCAAGTTCGGCCGCCACTCCACCAACTGCGGGCTGCAGCCAATGCGGCTTCAAAACAAAAGGGAGAGGAATCACGCTCGCTCTCTGCCTCCCCCCGCTCGGAACCCGGCACATGACAGCGGCTACACCGCGCGGGTCCAACGCCAGCCGGGCTCCAGCCGCGCGCCCCTGGGGACCCCTCCCCACCCGCGCTCCAGGGCCAGGGCTCCCTGCGGGGCGGGGCACCCGGAGGGAAGGGGCAAACCTCGGGAGTGGCGAGCCCGAGGAGTGCGACCCCCGACAGAGAGGAGGACCACGGCTGAGCGCGGACGCCCGGCTGCCCCCGGCGCAGGGAGGGGGAAGGGGCTAATTGTTTCGGGCGGTTTTCCCGGATTTACCTATAAGCACGCGCACGGCACGCAGCCCTCCTCCCAGGTCCCCGAATCCGTCCGCCAGCTGCGGTGACTACAAGAGGGGGGGGCTGACGGAGAGGATGCTCCCCTCCGGGGTTTCCTCTTGGCCCCCGCTTCGAAGCCGGTTCGGGGGTTGGGGGAAGGGGGCCCGGGAAGGGGGAAAGGAGGGGAGGAGGCTCCCCGAGAGCCGACTCCTTCCGCGAGGTTCCGCGCGTCCGGGCAAGGGGAGGGGGGTTCGGGGTCCCGGGCTCCGGACCCCCCAGCCAAGAAGGGAGGGAGGGAGGGAGGGAAGGAAGGGAACGAGGGAGGGAGGGGCAGGTGGGGGGGAGGAGGGAGTAGAGGAAGGAAAAAAATATAGCCCTGCTCTGACACAAGGAAAGAGAATGCTGGAGAGTGACGTCCAGGCTCCGCCCTCCCCTCCGGCCACGTGCGAAGACTTGAAAGGAAAGAGGCGGCGCGAGGTCTGCTGGGTAATGTAGTTCGCCTTTCTTTCCCGGGATGGCGGGCACTGGAGAACCCGGCGCCGCGGGGACGCCGGGATGCGCGTGAGCATCCGAGGCATCCCAGTGCAGCGACGCCGAAACCCGCGCCCAACGCCCCTGGACGCTGGCGCGGCCCTGGGCGCGGACCTCTGCGTAGGGAAAACTGAGGGCTTAGGCGCGGTCCAGGCTTTCGGGGAAAGGTTTGGTTTTGGGGACAGGAATGCTTTAAGGATGAGGATTTAGGCGCTTAAAGTGCAAAGTCTGTCCTAATGGCAGATAAAAGGGAGCTTTGTGTATGTATTGGCCGGCCCAAGTGGCGTTATTAATGCTGCATTAAATGCTGCTGTCTGTTATTGAGATGCATGTTATAATTAACATTTGAACATCTCTGTGGCAGGGGCAGGATGTTGTAATTGGATATGCACTTTACAACCAATTAATTTTCCATTGGCCATGCTGTGGGCTGGGACAGGGGACGTGGTGGCTGGGAGAATTCAATACAATGGAACATTCGGTAATCGCTTAACCAAATCACCAGTGTTTTCTGGGTACCTACTAGGTGCCTGGCATTGAGCTTGGCACAGAGAGGCCTTCAGGAGAAGGATGCTTCACACCCCTCCAAAGCAAGGGATTATCAACTCTTTGGAGGAATTGGGTGACATGGTGTAATTGCCATAGAAATCCATTTACTAATTCAGAGAACATTTGGTGAGCACTTCTACAGACAGGACATGTCTGGAAATGCTAAGATAAGAAAGACCCTCAGTACCTGCCCTCAAGCTCAAAGTCTGGTGTAAGGATTATAGTCAATGCAAGTATAGGGGATAAGTCAACACTTAACATAGGCATAAGCACAAAGTGCTAGGGAACCCTCAGGTGAAGCAGCCAACCAGGATGGAAGGTGGATGGAGGTGAGAGAGGGGAGGATCAGGGAAGGCTTCCTGGAGGAGGTTTTTAAACAAAGGCAAAGGCATTGGTAGGCATCTGACAAAGGCTACAGAATACAAATGCCCCAGATGAGAGAGAAGACAGTAAATTCTGAAAGTCCCAGCAATTTGGCAGGGCAGAGGGTGTGGGGGTGGAGGATGAGCTTAGAGAGCAGAAGGAGACGGACAGCTCACTGGAGGTGGGGCTTGAAGTGGCCTTGAAGGATGAGTGGGATTTCATTTGGTGTGGAGAGCTTGTGCTCCAGTCTTGAGGCTCAGCATGAGCCAAACCTTGGACAGAAAGCAAAGCAGAATCCAGGATGGTATGGTGTGCTTTGTAGTCAGATAGTACTTTATAGTTAGATAGAACTGAGCGTTAGCCCATTTTTGTCACTTGAAAGCTGGGTGAATTTAGGAGTATTACATGACTTTTCTGTGCCTGTGTTATTCTCAAATGGGGACAGAAACAACTGTTTCTTAAAGTTGTTAAGAGAATTAGTGAAACATGGAATAGCCTGGCTGTTAGTAAATAATAATGAAAAAAAAAAAGAAAGAAACCAGTCCCGTCCTATAGAGCAGCTCATTTAATTCTTGTACCAAAGGGCACACAGGCGTGTCTTCCCCTCCCTTTTAGAGGGAGACGGCAGGCCCACAGTCATGCATTCCTAGGAGGCAGAGTGGGTACCAGGAGCCAGTTGTCTGGGTGTCAGGTCCGGTTTTCAACCATCCCCACTCCCATCAAAGGACCTCGCATTTAAGCACACCTGACTCTTCCCCCTGGTTGGCTCAGCAGTGTGCTATTTTTATGCTTTAACATCTGGAGCATTTCCTGAGTTTGCATCTGGAGCATTTCCTGAGTTTGCAAAATATGAAATAATAGTACCAGAGTCTATCCACCCAGCTGATTGCGGTTTGCACATTTGTGTGAGAGGCACGCCACCTGCAAGGAAAGAAGAATGGAACTGTCTGGGTCTTGGTTTTGCTTTTGCTTTAAGTCACACCCCCAGAGGTGAGAACAGGATCCATCCCAGAGGCAATGAGAGGCTGAGCTACATGCAAAACAACCATGAGGAGGACACACCTCTGTTTGGGGTGTGCCTGGAGTGAGAGGGCCAGTGGGGACAGCACAGTCTGGGAGTTAGCAGCCTGGGTTTGCATCCCAGGAATGACATTCCTGGATCTGTAACCTTGGGCAGCTTACCTACCCTTCACAAGGGTGACCTTGGGCAGCTTAGTCCACAACCTTTCTTGGCTTTGTGAGAACCAAAGGCCCTAACCTATTTAAATTGGATCTGTCTCAGCAAATCCTCAGTGATTATTGACTCCTTTCTTTGATGCAGGGTCTTCCTGGCCCAGAAGAATGATCCCTGAATTTTCCTTCTACAGTCAGGCCAGCAGAGCCGGTGCTGCAGATAGGATTCTGGGGGTGACTCATCTCCATGCGTGATGTATTTGTCACTACATAGCCCAGAAATTAAAAGGTTTGTTTCAAGGAGGCTCAGTTCAGTTCTAGTTCTCAACTCCTGCTGGCCCAGCTCCGAACCCTCACCAGTCCACAGTAGTTGTGCGTTTCCTCTCCCCACCCTGATGCCCAAGGCCCTCCAAATGATGTCCCCACTCGAGGCATGTCCTGGGCTCCCACAAGGCTTCTCCCTGCCTATTAAAACATATCTCCTGCTCTCCAGATCCTCAGCACCTGGCCCTCTGCTTTTCCTCCAGCCCAATACCTTCACTGAATGATAAGACAGTCTTCTCACTCTCTCCTGCAACTCCTACCTGTTTGTATTCTTATCAAGAGCTCTCTGAAATGGCCTTTCGTGACGCGGATTCCCAGCTGGAATGGGGGTCTTTGAGAGGAAGGCTCTGCAGGTCCCTCAGACCGAGTCCCCAGTGTGGGAGGGCTGGTGCTTCCTTGTCCTTCGTGCATGTCCTTCCTCCTCTGCTCTGGGGTGATCTGATGCCCCACTGCAGGCTGGGGTCAGAGTTGCTGCTGGGTGCGAGTTAATGAACTGGACTGGAATTGGTTTACTTGCGGCAGATTTGAGTTGCCAAGAGTTGCTTTTTCTGATTTGTCACCACATAGCCCAGAAATTAAAAGCCAGAATGTTTCTCTCTGTTTTAAGCAGTTGTTTTACTTAATCCACACTTCCCTAAGATATTAGCAAAAAGAAATATTTCTCCTTTCTTCCCATTTCTTCTCCTTCCTTCTACCAGCCTTTCCTCCATTAGTCAACACAATTATTGCAGGCCTGGTGGGAGTCCACCCCAGTGCTGGGGGAGAAGTTACCTGCCTTCAGGAGCTGAGTGGACCAGGCTGGTACCCATGAGATGATAGGAAAACTGATGAAGTGCTACACTGTGTAAGGGTGATTGTAAATGAACAAAGGGTTCCTGGAAGGCTGGACTGGTCAGAGAAGGCTTCTGGGAAGAAAGTAGAACTAGATCCATTTATGACTTCCCATAGTGAAGAGGTCAACAGTGGCCCAGCATTGGCCTGGGAAACATTGCAGAAGTTGTGTTTTCAGGTGGACACTGCAGAGTGGGCGCATCAGGTATCAGTTTGGTGGCCACTGACCCCACAGAAGGAAGGAAGTTACCGGTCTAGTGTCTACGCTCTGTTACTGGGGTGTTGGCTTAGAGAGATAATGGCTTGATAGAACCAGATTGAGTTTCACCAGGCCTCATCTCAGCTTCCACTACACAACTCCAAAGACCAACGCCTGAAAGGCAGATGGAAAGTGATCCTCTAGGGTTGAAATTGGTGATGGAGGAAGGGACATCCATAGAGAACAATGAGCTTGAGAAAAGCAAAAGCTAAGAATAAACCAAGAAATATTTTATGGGGAGCATGCTATGCATAAGGCATCGCAATGCACCATGGGGAACTAAGTGTGTGAAACTGGTTTCCAGGCCCCACCTGACCCTATCCTGCTGTGTGACATTTCCTCTCTTTGGGCCTCAGTGTTCTCACCTGTAAAATGGGAGGGTTGGACTCTACAATCTCTAAAATTATTTCCCAACCTGAAGTTCCCCTTTCAAGAAGTTTACAATCTAGCTGGCAAAAGAAGCTGTAAAGTTAATAGCCAGAAGTATGCGTTTAAAGCTTTTTAATTCCAGCAGAACAGGAAGGGTTTGTAATATTCATTAAACAGTGCCCTGAAGTCCGTAGAGGAACAGAAGAAGACAAACAGATTTTGTCTTGCAAGATTCAAGGACAGTAAGTGAAACCCATGAGTAGTTAGGAATTCTTTAAGTCCCTGAGAG